ACCCTTCGAAGTTTCAAGTAAACTTCGAATAAACTTCGAAGTACACCTTCGAAGTTTGCTTGAAACTTCGAAGTACACCCTTCGAAGTTTCTTCGAAGTTTGTTCGAAACTTCTTCGAAGTTTGGTCGAAACTTCGAAAGTTAAATTTTTACGATTTAGTTAAATTGTTACGTTTTAGTTAAAAATTTAAAAATAGTTAAATGTGTAAACCTCATTTTAGTTAAATTTTTAGAAAATAGTTAAAACATAATTTTAACTATTTCTTAAAAATTTAACTTTGTCGAAATACGATTTAGTTAAATTTACTAAGTTTAGATATATCCTATTTTTTAAACTAAGCCGGTCTATTGGGAGGTTCACTGGGCGCCGACGCGCTTTGAGTTCGCCGATGGGCTGACGAAGCATGATGAGAGGCTTCGTAGCTCTTTTCGAGCCTGGGCAAGCCCAGCAAGCCTGTCGACATTGTCTAGATACCATGAAGACCGCGTGGCTATTTGTGCACTATGTTCACCTTTGAGATTTCACATGTAGCTGGAATTCTTGGCAGCTGTGTTGGTAAAAAAGAAGCAGTGTCTGCAGGTGTGATTCGTTCGATTTACAGTTGAATGTTTTCACCATGTAAGTTGTGGCTGTGTCTCACAATTGAGGTTTGAGAGACCATTGACAGACCATGAGAGTTTACTCTGAGAGCATTTTGTTGTGCGTGAACTCTCTCACAAGTGTCTTTTCTCTCAAGGTTTCTTTCACAAAAGGGTTTCACTCAAGATTTCTTGCGCAACTAAGTATTTGTCAGGTCACGCCACTATTTATTCTGAGAGACCTTTGAGGGAGAGACTGTTGAAAAACCTTTGAAACCGTGTGAGTATACCTTGCTTGTGCGCTTTGACCTTGCAGCTGCTGCTCTGAATATTGACATTCACAATATAGTTGTTGTTCACGTAAGTCAGTAAACTTCACACTGCTGTCAAATTGGGAGATTGTTGCACATGACAGAGGGCTTTGGGTTCACAGAGTATATATGGCATATGTGCAAGAAACATACTGGTGTACAATGTTGAAAATTATGCGACCGCAAAAGCCTGTCAGGCAGCATTGCAAAAACACACCATGCAGTGAACAGCAACAATCACATCCTTAATGTACAGTATATATGGTACCGACAGGTCAAAGTCACAATATAGGACTCTCACCATCCTGACAATTTACACATTTGATACATGAAGCCCGCATTAATTAAGACGGTTTTGTATCCTCCACCTCGAAAAGGCCATGTCGCACCGAGTGTTTTTGCGGAATTTGATTCCGCACGCGTCATCTCGAGTGCTTCAGAAAGCACTGGTTGATCTGGGGCTTGGAGATGGACTGTACCGCGTGCAGATCTTCAGGCCGGGGAATTTAATCGCTGCTGGCATAGCTAATGCCTACTTGTCGTACGAAACAGCAGAAAATTGAGAACGCAATCGCTGAGCTGGGGTCCGCATCATCGATCAGGTTTGCACTGCTCCGCTTGCAGCCGAGGTTGCCCGTCCACGGACCAACGTGTCAACAGTTGGTGCAGTTGCTGCAGCTACGATGCCAGGTACCGCGCCAGCTACAGTTGCCCCACCTATGCATACGCCAGCAGTTGATACAGTTCCGGCACCTATGCATATGCCACCAGTTGGTACAGTTCGGGCACCTATGCCACCAGTTGGTACAGTTCCGGCACCTATGCCAATAGTTGGTACAGTTCCGGCACCTATGCCACCAGTTGGTACAGTTCCGGCACCTATGCCACCAGTTGGTACAGTTCTGGCACCTATGCATGCAGTTGTGCCGCCACCGCCACCTGGTCCACCTCAGGCACAGGCCCGTGTTTGCTTTTCCGCCACCAGCTCCAATTCCCTGTGTACCACCACCTGGTACCATGGGCTTGACCCCTGTGAACCCAAGACCATCGTTGATTGGAGGCTTTGTTGCTCCGGTTGCTCCCTCTCAAGCCCGAGGCATTCCAGTGACTCCTCCACCAGTTGTTCGACCATGGCATGAACCAATGACACCAATGCCATCGGCAGTTCCAGCGAAGCCTACAAGCGCAGTCTCAGCTGATGCGCCTGAGCTGGAGGAGGATGGCCTTTGTTTACAAGATGGCTACGGCGACGACACGATGGACGAGGATGAGGTGCCAGAGCTTGGGTTTTACCTTCAGCTCTTCCTGAAGCAGGAGGAGAAAGAGGAGTCGGGGGAGGAGCAGAAAGAGCAGTCGGGGGAGGAGCACAAAGAGGAGTCGGGGGAGGAGCAGAAAGAGGAGACGGGGGAGGAGCAGAAAGAGGAGACGGTGAAGGAGGAGCAGAAAGATGAGACGGTGAAGCAGGAGAAGAAACGGCCGAAAATCGAGGCCTTCTTGGTGGTGAAGGAGGAGGAATCTGAACCAGAACTTGTGTCTGCTCGTCGTACTGCTCCTCGCTCACGACGCCCGACAAGGAGTCGAGAAAGGAGATCTTCGAGGCGACAGAGGCGGAGGAGCAGGAGTCGAAGGAGGTCGCGGAGGCGGTCATGACCTCATGAGCTTCGCAAACGCAATGCTCTGGTCAGGATAAGAGCTTTTGTGGTGTGTGTGAAAACAAACTGCGCAGTCCGTGCGTCAGCTGTGTTCTGTCATTTGCAGTCATGTCAAGTGCAGTATGTCATTTGCAATCCTTTCAATTGCAGTGTGTCATTGGCAGTCATTTCAAATTCAGTGTATCATTTGCAGCTGTGTCAACAAACGCTTCAAACCTTTTCTGTTTTGTACACCTTTAAGGATACTGCGCATACCTTTGAGAGCTACCTTGAGAGATAACTTTGAGAGAGACTTGAGACCTTTTGAGGAAGACCTTTGAGAACCTTTGAGAGAGACATGTGACACGCACTTTCTATGAACCTTTTGGGGAAACACTGAACCTATATAGATCCTTTTCAACCAATGTTTTGAGAGATTTACTGCAGTGGCTTGATGTTTGAGCGGTAACCTTTATAATCACTTGAGTAGTTACCAGTGTACTTTGAGTCACTCATGTATACACTTTGAGAACCTTGGACCTTGCAGCTTTTCTGGCTAGCAATCCTGCGACCACCAGTTTGCCTTGCCGCTTTGTTGACATGTCATCTCAATTGGAGCGCTCCGACAGTGAGAAGACCATGATCCTTGGCCAAGAAGGGGGAGATACCACCATGGCTTCACAAGAGCCAGCTTCACAGCATCCGGCTCCACAAGATCCAGCTGAGCAGCGTCCATCTCCTCAAGATCCAGCTACACAGTGCGATGCACCGGTTGAGCCTGCTGAGTTTGCTCCCAGTAGATCAGAGGAGAGTGAGGATCCTGATGAGCCCACTTACCGAGTGTTGGATGCCTACGGACACCGCATCGTTGTCGAGGGCGAGGTGAGCCCGATGGCCCTGCTGCTAGGCAATAATTATGCTTGCGCAGCAGTTGCAGGCATCAGGACATCAAGGCATGGGAGCAACCGCCACTTCGTCCAGCCTGAACCGTGGCCGATCGTCCATGGACATTGATGCTGGTCCCCAAGCGAAGCCCAAGCCAAAGCCTAAGGCCAAGGGCAAGGCTGGACGCAAAAGGCGCCAAGTCACTCGTGATGAACAGTGAGAACTACAAGTTCAAACCAAGAACCGGGCCAAGGAGGAGAAGACTTTAGCGGAGCACTGTGCTTTAGGATGGTAGCACTGTAGCTCTATGGTTTTTAGACTCCAGCCAACTTAGAGCCTGTGCGGTGTTGAAAAACAAATGAGTTGCACAGCAGCCCTGTACCTCTACCATGAAGATGTGTGACACTTTGACACCCGTTTGTTTTGAGACAGTCTTGAGAAAAGCTTGAGAGACTCTTGTTAGAGACATTGAGGGAGTTTGTTGGTGTGATCTTACTCCTAGATGATTTGTTCATGAGTTTTTCAAGTCTGGAAATGACTGATTCGAAGTTTGTTCGAAATTTCGAACAAACTTCGAAGTGGACTCCTTCGAAGTTTGTTCGAAGTTTGTTCAATAGTTGTTCGAAGTTTGATTCGAAGTTTATTTGATGTATATCAAAAACACTGTAAATACCAATGTTTTCAACTTCTACATACTTATAAACTTCGAACAAACTTCGAATGGAGCTTCGTTTGTTCGATTCGGAGTTTGATCGAAATTTCGAACAAACTTCGAATCACTACTTTGGCAACATTATAACTTTATGTTGTGATCTGACAACAACCTTGAAATGTTTTGTTGGAACCTGATGACAATCTAGAAACCTTTTGTTGATGTCATTGATCCTTGAAGTGAAACCTTCGTTGCTCCACAGCTTTCTTGGATTGAGAGAGTGATCGAACGATCGTGATCGATAGTTTGTGTGTGTGTCTCGACCTTGGACCATGCCAGCCGCTTCCAAGCGCCCCGCGGCCAATGTGGATGACGCCACAAAACCGCAGAAGAAGCCGGCAGCGATGCCGAGTGTCAATGAAACCCTGCGCCAGCTCAAGAGTGCCACGGCTTCTCCTGAGGATGACGAGAACGAAGCCACAATGGTCTTGGCCAGGCGCGACAAAGCGAAAGGCGAAAAATTCGCCCGGATGCGCCAAGCTGGGCAGACCCCCCAGCATATACTCCACTTATACGACGAGACCGCGAAGCAGTCCCCTTCTCCCAGAGATTTTCGTACCAACGTCATCAACCAGTTGTTCAATAAGACTGACTCTGGAATGTTCACGATGAACACTGGGGCCAAGCTCTTCACGGAGGCGTACAAAGCATATCAACAGAAGTACGCCAGGGACGAGCAAGAGGCGATGTCCCGCTCGGTCATGCTTGGCCTCTTTTTTCAAAACAACATCCAGGCCGGACGTGCTTTCCATGCACCTTTTGTGAAACCGAGTCAGAGAGAGTAAGAGAGAAAGGAAAGAGGCAGAGAAAAGAATGACCATAGAATAAAGGCAATCAGTAAGAAAGACAGAGAGAGAGAGAAAGAGAGAGAGAGAGAGAGAGAAAGACCGAAAGAAACCAAGAAAGAAAGACTAACAGAGAGAGAGAGAGAGGGGATGAATGAAATGAAACTCTCACAAGGTTTCCTCTCACAAGGTTGTTTCACTCAAAGGTTTGTATGAATGAGTGAATGAATGAGTGAATGAGTGAATGAATGAATGAATGAGTGAATGACTGACTGAATGAATGAATTAATGAATGAGTGGATGGAGTGAACTCTCAAGGTTTCCTCTCTCAGGGTGGCTTCATTCAAAGGTTTGTACCAATGCACTGACGTGTGAATGCATAAATGAATGAGTGCATGAATGAGAATAAGTGGATGACAGCATGAATGAGCTAATGAATGAACTGATTTATGAATGAACTTAAATAGAGAAGACATTGAACAAAATCAAAAGAGTTTGAACTCAATAGATATTGAACAAACTCAAGTATGTGTGTGTGTGTGCGCCTGTGTTTGCTTGGGCAACCTTAGGCCTTCAACAATGCACTTGCAGAGGGTGACGTGGTTGAATTCGAAGGCGACGATGGCCGCAAGTACTACAAGCGCAGGAAGATGCTTGTGGGACAGGAGCGTGGATCTACTTTCGAGCATGGCGGCAAAGACCAGGTCAAAACGGGCGCCAAGGAGTTTGGTGCCATGAAGGACCTGATGGCTTCTTTGGATTGGACCTTTGATCACACCGAGAAGGACATCAAGGACTCATTGGCATATATATTGATGGGGTATATGTTTGATTCTGCTATGCACAACCCTGGACCTTTTCTAATATATATTCGACCTTTGTTCACCCCAATATAAGAGATGCAATAGCTTACCGCTTTCCAACTTTGAGCTATACAGGACATGGCCAAGGATCCCAAGAAGAAGCTTCCAAGCAACATCAATGAGTTGCTTGATGGTGCCAGCAAAGCCCTTGAGCGCTTGTCGCGTGATGCTTTGAAGACCCTGAAGGATGGAACCAAGCTGGCTGATGGCGGCAAGGCCTTGCGTGGTCACTACAATGCCTGCCAGCAAGATTTGGCATCCATCAACCACGTGAAGCTCTTCAAGGAGCTGCCCAATGACAAGCCGCTGACCAAGCAGAATTTCGATTCGTGCGTCTTCGAAGTCGCCAAGCGCGTGGAGGCGTTGAACTGAGAGGTGGAGAGTTCCAAGGCCAAGTTGAGGGCCAAGTCCAACTGATGACTTGACACCCTGAGCGCGCTCATTTTGAAAGACTGTGTGTGGCACACAGACCCTGGGACAAGCCGAGGTGTCCATATATCTATATAGAAGTATCTATAGCTTATTCAACTGTGTTTGCACTTTTGTAGTGAAGGCAAGGTTTCACCAGATTTCAGCAAAATAGAACATACGTAGATATATTTTTGCGCGTAGTAAACACTTGTATATGTCATATATGTTTGGTAACCCTGGCTGTGCCCCAGCTAGACCTGTGTGTGAACGGTGCGCGCATAGAGATTGCTGCTGCCACAACCTTGCATCCTGGCGTCGAAGGATCGGCAAAGGACCTTTGCATTGCAGCGCCAACTTCTTTGCGACCATGAGAAAGCTTTTGGAAAGGTTTGATGAAATCTTTGAGAGACCTTTGAGAGACCTTTCCATGGTTGTTGAGAGACCTTTGACCCTTGTCTCCCACAAAGGTTCTCCCTCACCTCTAATGTCTCGCTCAGCGGTCTCACCTATCTCCTTCTCTCTCTCTCTCTCTCATTCTCTCATAAGTCCCTCAAGGTTCCCTCTCATGGTTCTCTCATAAG